AAAAAAAAAAAAAAAAAAAAAAATTATATAGAGCTATATATTGGATCAAAACAGAACAGAACTGTGTCTTTGTTCCTGTCGCCAGGTGGGAGGTGCTAAACTGATCAATGCTGACTTGTAGAAACATCTAATATAATGATGTAAAAGAATGCTGAATAGATTAACCTCGGGATGGACAAAAATAGTGTTAGGTTTTCTGAAAGAACAAGAAACAAAAACAAAACAAAACAAAAAAGGTTTTCTGACGTATGCGGAGAGATTACAGATTGTGGTAATATGACAACAGTGCTATGTATTCAGTGGCGGATCTAAGGGAAGGGCCCGGGTGCCCCTCTCCCCTTAACTTGGGTAGAAAAGAAGAAATCACAGAAGGAAGAAAAGCCGGCATGAGAAGCAAAATACCCCCCCCCCCCTGCCCCTTAGTTCAAGGTCTGGATCCACCACTGGTATTATTTAAGTTTCTACACATCAACATCCGTTGGTATGGGGCGAGGGTGGTTCAGATATAATAACACGGGGTGAGGGTGGTTCAGATAATAACACTTTTTACTCCAAGAAGGAAAATGCACGTTTCCATAGTTACCTCCGATTACCAGAAAGTTGACGATAACATCCGTTCTCTGGCCATTGTACCCCGCGCTGTCCTTGATGCAAACTCGGCTGTGGGTTTTGTTCACTACCTGCGAAGGAACAAAACAATTTTTAAAAGATACAGCAGAGACGCCAGAATGATGTTTGGACAAATATGAATATGCGTGGGGGAAAATGAGATTTCATATTCCATCAGTATTTAGGAACAAACCATGCAACTATCTACAATATTGTATAAAAGTTGAAACTTCAATGAGGTGTTAATCTAGTTGTCCGTGACATGCGTTAAAATGGTTTTCTACTGTTTCTTTTAAGTGTATGAAGAAACTGTACCTCCAGCCAATTTGCTAGAGGACCTTTGTGAGAGCAAGCTATGTTGGCACTGTTACTGTCTCCATTGAGGACTGTTGCAAGTACCACGGGCGGCTTAAAAAATGGCTCTTTAAACTTGATAGTCTACAAAAGAAGTAGAAATTTACGATTAAGATGTGTTCTGATTCTGCCTGATGTATACCCAGATGTCTCAGAATGTAAATAAGGCTTGTTGTTGTATTCATTATTAAAAGCATATGGAAATGAAATGGACAACTAATTACAAACATAAAGCGATTGTGCTCCGCCATTTGCAAAAGAAACTGGTGCCATAAATTCACGTTGAGGCTTCTGAAACATTGAAGATCTTTCCAGTAGTAAAGGCTGTATATATTGTGATTACCTGGAACTATAATTTTATCTTCTTCTTAAACGATAATTATTATCTGTAATGTTATCGACTTGTCGCCTTTTTATAGCTTTGTTAGTCCACTCTAATTTTCAACATGAACTCCAAAGTTATTGATATTAAACAAAATACACTTACCATACACAAAGCATAATTATTTTCTGCAGCTGGTACCTCGCTCTTGAGAAATACAAGCTTATGTGACTCTTTAGCTGCCCACGAGGATGAATAATTCTCGTACGCCAACCAGTTCTAAGGATTAAATTAAGATAAAGACCGTACCTCAATAACGTCTCTGAAATTTCTCGCATATGATTAGTTGAAAAATCAAATGAAATGGGTCTTAACGCGCAAGTTCCTATTCAATGAACATTAGTAATGAAATCATTTTCATGAATTAATCACTTACCACTACAATTTTGTTGTGCCCGCCATCTAATGCCCTTGACTCTCGCAAGCAAACCTTAAACTGGCTTATGGTAACATTTTCCATCCAAACATGCATGGCATCCTGTTTTTGTTTTTTGGTTCCATGTTGGACAGTGACCTGAACTGTAGGAATCGTCGAAAAGGCCTAATGGTAAAATGAAAAATTATGCATCTAAATACAATATGAAAACTAGTTAGCACTTGTTCTCCTGGAAACAGCTTGATAATCAACAAAGTTTAAGTAGTAACCTTGCAGGGAATGGAAATGAATTGCCAGAAATATTTAACCGAACCGTTATTGGCGAAATTAACAATTGCATTCGTAACAAGGTGCTGTTAGGAAATTGCTCCCACTGTCCTAGTTTGGGATATTCGTGTCGAGCATATCTTCGATGCCTGAGAAAACTTGACAATATGATGTAAAAAATGATGAGTGGTCTCAATATCACAAATGCGTCGAAGTCCAATAAAAGCAAGAGAGCTAAGGTATTCTATTTTGCCCAAACCGATGCGGCCTTTACAATTTTGGCAACCCTTTAATTTTAGTTTGGATACATACAGTCAGACGAAAACAACTCTTTTTCTTTACGAAGCAGCCAAGTTTTTTTACTCTTACCTTGGGAAAAATCACTTTTTTGCATTGCGTTCCAGTCGTAAATAAGCTAAAACTAGCCGATCCATCGTAAACTCCTGATTGGGAACCTTGGAAAGCAAACCAATCGATGCTGGTGTTACCTCCGTTACCTTGGCCACCGAGCACCAGACAGGCCTTGAAACCGCTTGTTGTCACGTCTTCCACCCAAATAAAAGACGTATCGTGGACTTTCGACGGAATTTCTCCGTGATTGGCTGAGATATACACTCGCACAGGTGATCCTTTGGTAAAACTCTTGCTGAAGGACACATCTTCGCAATAGAGGCCACTGTTTCCCTTCTGTGGAATATGAACTTTACCCCACTGGGCACCTGAGAAACAGTTTAAATAAACGGGATTTAATCACTCAAACCGATGGGAAATCATTTATGATGAAATTAGACTGATCTTCATTGTGGAGATTAAAAGTTCAAGCTTCAAAATGCGTTTGATTTCACAGAAAAGTTGCGTTACCTAGAGAGTGTCAAAGTATTTCCATAAACCGCTCAAAAATAATTCTGATCCGAATGGTCAACATCTAAGTAGTCCAAGATTCAGAACAGCAAGTAAAATAAAATAAAAACTTAGATCAGCTGAATTTCACTCGTAACAAAAAAAAAACGTGATGTCAAAGTCACAGCTTAAAATTCTTTTGATTGAGGAAGAGGTTTGATTTGAGGGAAGCGTTAGCGGGTTTTATTCCTCTACTGAATCTAGAGCCATGCAATCCACTCGAAAGCTTGTCGCACAGTATAACGTGGTCATGCACCAAGTGCTCCAGATGTACAATACCTGGCAGGTGATCAAAGAAATGCGACTGATGTCACTTTAGCGCGAGGACGTGCATCAACTCATGATCAGTC